TGCCTAGAAAATCTCGACACTGGATACAGGGATGTTCCCAGGGGACAGGTTGAACTGTGAAATTGGTTCCTATGGGAAAATAATGATCTTTAGAGTCTGTGTCTCAGACTATAGACGTAGAGGGCTGCGTTGCTCCAGCATTCAGGGTCTCCTAAGTCTGGCTCAGGCAGGCTGATGCCCTGAACCAAACGTTGCAACATAGGAAAATCACAGGCACCTGAACTCCTATGTCATCCTTGTAAGCCCCACTCAGCTGTGCCTCTTCCTAACTTTCACCTTTCTCTGTCATTCACCCCATGTGTCCTTTCAAACTGCTTTGTGACTCAGAGAAAGTCACATATGTGACATCTTAAAGCTGTATCTGAACAGTGAGGCTGCCTGGGTTTGTCCTCCAGCTTATTCCTCTCCCAGTATCCGAGCTGCCCTGCCGGTAACAAACTGTTCCCTGTTGGTAATTAGTCAACAGCAGATGAAGGGATCTGTCACATGTGATGCTCTGAGCCTCAGCCAGATCTTGCTTCCCTTCAGCATCAGTCTTGGGCATTCAGGCTGGGTTCTTCCCCCCATGTGCTTCTCTCATTCTCTTCTCCCAGATCCTTTCAGATTAATGCTCTCTGCATCAGCACATGAGCTTAAATAGAGACTGGATGGTGTTGTGTCCCAGGAATTGAGGAGTCACACAAAGCAGAGTGAAGCAAGAGTAGTAAGAGAAACATTTTGTCCCTCTCATACTCAGCTTTGTGCTCTGTGTGTGTCTGTTTGTTTATTTTTTAATGAAGAAGAGAAGATTGATGGACGAAATTAAGAAGAGGGATGTGTAATTGGAAAACAGCTCAAGAAGGCTACGGGCAGCATATTGAAGGCATCCATCAAACATCCAGCTGATGTTATTAAGGGTGTGTAACACAAACACGGGCTGCAGAAGACACTAGGAAACAAAGGGAAGAGGAAGAGAAATAGGTAGGAGAGAGGGAATAGCAAGGGAGGAGAAAAACAAGAGAGTACAATCAATATTTGTATTGCAGTCACATCCAGCAGCTCCTGTCCGGATCAGGACTGTACGAGCACATTAAGCGACAGTCCCTGCCCTCTACAGCTTAAACCCAGGAATTACGGGATGGTCGCTGTGGATGGGTTTAGATAATCGCAGCGTTTTCTCCTGATCTTGAATCTCATTTAATAGGATCTCCCCTGAACAGGTTTAAAGGCAGAAGGCAGGTAGCTGGTTGTGCCAAGAATACACTCAGTAATGCCTGCAAGCAAGCATGCAATTAATCTGAGCCACTTAGGGGACTTTGGTTTTAATTATCAAAAGTAGGTAAAGATATGTGCAGTAAACCTCTGCAAGCCCCACTGGGGCCATCAGCAGGCTACCCAAAGGCATTGCCATGTGCCAAGGGTTTCAGAAGGGTGGGATAATGCTTTAATGGAGCACTTTGTGGGAAATACTCCATGCAGGGTGGACATAAAGAAAATGCAAAGGGTCTTCATGTGGGGAAGGAGAGAAGACAAAGGATAAAATTATTTGTAAGGCAGATGATTCCTTTAGTCCTGGAAACAGGAAAAATGGAGGCTGTCAAGGACTGGTGAGGTGAAAGATGTAAGGGAACAGAGAAGAGCACATGCATGATGGATGCAGAGGGCAGCAGTGGCGGGGAGAAGGTGATGCTTTAAAAGAGAAAATGAGGTATCCCAAGACAGACTTTCTGAAAGCAGTGTTCAAGTCAGCTCCTCTGTGAGGTTCACAAGTGGCCTGGTGCTTTACGCAGGGTTTAACTGCTTTAGCATCACATGCTTTGGGAAAGCAATAGAGAGGAGATACAGAAGAGCACCAGAGGAGCTGCACACACAGACAGCATCTCTGCTTGTTTGCAGTGTTCAAGAAGCATGAACAGGGCTGGCTGGGAGGAGGAGGAGGAAAAAGAACTAGAGAGAGAATTGGTTAAAGCTCTTCTAACTGATCCACTCTCCTCTGTGCTCTCCTGATAACAGCGCTGCCACCTCTCTGCCACCTCCTCATCTCCTTCCTTCCACAAACAACCTCTGCAGGCCTGCTGCATAGAAACTGTGCCTGTGTAATTAAGGCCTTTTATTAAAGGGAATGACTTTAATGCAGGGATATTTGTAATTGCAAGCATACTAGAGGAAGCAAGGAGCTGTGATGACTCCAAGCCAGAGCCTGGGTGGACCTAAGCTTCTGCAGCTCTTACAAAGCAGTGCAGAGCTCTCCTTGGATTTCTTTATCTGTTCTCATGGCCCTGAGTGATGAGAAGCTTTGCTCTGTGCTGGTAAAGGAAGGTGTTTCCTGGAGGGAAAGCTCTGTAGCTTACCAAAGACCTATGCCTTCAGCACTAACACTTGAAGGAAGCTCTTGTACCTGCCCTGGAGCCAGCCATCAGAAAGCAATGAGGTTATGCAGAGCCAGCATGTTTGCTGCACAAGGCTCCTGCAGCATCACCAAAGCATTCCTGTGTGCCTCTGACTACACAGGTTCCTTGGCCTACTTCTTCATCAGTTTTCCATAGCAGGAACGGCAGCATGGTGTTTCCTGAGGAGGTAGGAAGCAATAGAGATTATCACCATGAATGGTTGGTTTAAGGAGCAGTGGAGACAGGTTACAGTGAGGAATTGCTCCAGTGTGGTATTGCTGGTGTTTAACAAGGAATAAGCTCATGGTGCAGCAGTTTTCTTAATAGAGCCTATGAGTATCTACTTGCCTGCCAGAAGACATGCTGAGACATGCAAGATTGGGCTGAAATGGGTTTGTCAGTCATCGCTGGTAGGGCAGTGATGAGCCCTGTGATCACATAATCCTTGTTTCTGTCAGGACACTAAATGTCAAGTTAAAATTTAATAACAAGTACTACAAAGGTCCCAGAGGATGAATTTTGAACAGCATCCCCTGGTATCTTTCAGGAATACCGTGTGTCTCTGCAAAGCAGAGTCCTTTTGGACCGATCACCACGTTTCTTCTCACTTGTCTAAGGCTGAATCAAGGCAATCCTTCCTCTTTGGATCGATGAGGAGCTGCTGGGCTCAAATCCTGGGCAAGGAGTTTCGTTTGCACAAAATGTGCCTATGTCCCTTTGAGGACCTTGGTTTTAGGTGACTGGCCTTCAATACACCTAGGAATTCAGAGCCAACCAGTTTGAGCCTTCTTTCCATCATTTCATCAGTGTGATGCCACATGGCTCTCTTCCCTCAGACTGCCTTTAGCCTAGGAGAGCAAGAGGGCCTGGTGGGGCTGTTCATCAGCTCTTCAGTTCCCAGGGGGTGTGTTTCCCAACAGAAATCTCTCTGCAGGAGGCTAATGGAAGTTTTATGCTCCCTTTAGGCTCCTAATGAGCATAGCTGTGGTAGCAAGGAAGTCCTCTGGGAGAAGTACTTGTCGTCAGAAAGGTAATCCCAGAGGAGACAGAATACAGATGTTACTGGGAGGGAGAGTGGGATAAAATCCAGCTATCAAACACCAGGCATCCTGCTTGGAGTGGCAGCATAAAGTTCTAAGATGCTAAAGAGTAACTTTGCTCTGTACCCTTCAGTCTTTCCGTGGACAGCAGATGTGGATCCCTCTTTCTGGAGCACTGCTTTCGTTGCTGGTGTAATATTGTCATATCCAGAGAGGGACCAACGCAGAAGCTAGAAGTTGGAGGAAAATGTTCCTGACTGTGCCAGAGCCATACAAAAGGCAGCACATGCACTAGGCAAGCCCATTTGTGAAAACCAAAATTACTGCTATAGCCTGGACCATCTGTAAATAAGCCACCCCTTGTTGGTGATTATTCCTAATACTTTTGTCCTTTATCCATCTTTGTTTCCTTTTAGTTCCTCTTGCTTTATAGGAGTTTTGAAAACAAATGTTAAGTGTTGTGATTCCTCCGCTCTCATGATCATGTACATTACAGAAGTGCTAACAAAGCAATGAAAGTATTCTGAAGGCTGTGATTTATACTAAGTGCTGCAATGGCCAAACACAGCAAACCAGGATATGGAACAATTACACTTTCAGCACTGGGGAACGACAGAGGCAGGGATTTTGTGACAATCTCAGTAGGTGATAGTGTACATCCCTGATTGCCTCACTGCATGTGCATAAGGAGGATGAATTAAAGCAGCTGGAGTGAAAGAGATGATGGCTCTCTTTTGAGCCTGACATCTTCTGTTTTGTCCAGTTGCATATGCAGGAATACAACTCTTGCACAGAGTTTCCATAGAATCATAGAATAGTTAGGGTTGGAAAGGACCTTAAGATCATCAAGTTCCAACCCCCCTGCCATGGGCAGGGACACCTCGCTCTAAACCATATCACCCAAGGCCTCGTCCAACCTGGCCTTGAACACTGCCAGGGATGGAGCATTCACAACCTCCTTGGGTAACCTATTCCAGTGCCTCACCACCCTTACAGGAAAGAATTTCCTCCTTATATCCAATCTAAACTTCCCCTGTTTAAGTTTTAACCCGTTACCCCTTGTCCTATCACTACAGTCCCTAATGAAGAGTCCCTCCCCAGCATCCCTATAGGCCTCCTTCAGATACTGGAAGGCTGCTATGAGGTCTCCACGCAGCCTTCTCTTTTAAAATATTCTACAAAAGAAGCAAATTAAACAGTCACCACAGAGCTCAGGTATTAACACCAGTGCCAGAGAGGGGGCAAGTAACTCTGGTTTCCGAATCAGCAACATGAACAACCCAAAGTCAAGGAGCCAGTGGGTTCATCATGGAGCAGCGGGAGGTTCTTTGTAGCAACATAAATAGATAAAAGCTTCTATTGAATAGCACAGGAATTGGCCAGGGCAGCTGGATAACGATTTGGGCCACAACCTTAATGGGGCTCCTTGTAAACTTAGACAAATGCTTTGCTGGATTGGTGCCCAACATTTACCATGCCTCCCTCCAAGCAAGACAAGCTCAGCCTATTAGTCTGGCCTCTAGACTCACTGTCCTCATGTTTGCGGTGACTGATGTTTCAGAGGCCTTACTCTTTCTTTCTGCTCTGAAAGGTAGAGAGATGCCTGGGCATTGGAAGCTCTCTGCAGCATGCTGAGGAGACGTAACCTTCTGACCACGATCCTGATTGCCTTGCCATGGGCTCTTCTCCTAACCTTGTGGCACCAGTACCCAACCACCCACTACCTCAGCCTGCTGAGAAGTAAGTGCAAGAGTTCCACTGCCAGTGTGCTGGTGGCCGTGATGATTCCTGGTGTGAACCCTCGGTAGGAGATGCTCACTCATGGGATGGGTTCAACAAACACAAACTTGTCTGAAGGGCCCCTCGGGGTTTGCCTATAGCAGGCACTCAAACTGTTCTTAAGAGTTACACATAACCCTTAAGGTATGGGGAGAGGATGCTGATGCAGCGGGTTGGAACTAGATGATCTTTTCAACCCAAACCATTCTGTGTGCTGAGCACTGACTCCAGACAGATGTGTGCCCAGCACTCCCTGGAGAGGAGGCAGTGATTAGTTCTCTAATATCTTTCTTCTTCTTCCTTCCTTCCTTTTTCCCCAGAAGAGACAGATGAGAATGTGACCTCTAAAGCTCTCCTCAATGGTACCTCTGCACTGAGAGAAGGCAGCCTCCCATCATGCATTCGGCAGCAGCAAAGCACAGGGGCAACACCGAGAGTCATCCAGAGCTATGTGTACTCCAGGCCTCCCCCATGGTCAGACACCCTGCCAACCATCTTTGTTATCACCCCTACCTACACCCGTCCAGTGCAGAAAGCTGAGCTGACCCGTCTGGCCAACACCTTCCTACACGTGCAGAACCTGCACTGGGTGGTAGTGGAGGACTCGCCCCGCAGGACCAACCTGGTATCCAACCTGCTGGAGAAGGCAGGACTCAACTTCACCCACCTCAATGTGGAGACACCCAAGAGTCTGAAGCTGGGTCTGTCCTGGATCCCGTCCCACACCCCAAGGGGGACATTGCAGAGGAACCTGGGACTGCACTGGCTGAGGGACAGCTTCAGCAACACCGCACCGCCAGAAGGGGTAGTGTATTTCGCTGATGATGACAACACCTACAGCCTGGAGCTCTTTGAAGAGGTAAGAGCCGTAATATTACATGGGATAGAAAAGCAGGATACAGCTGCAAAGCCTCTTAAGGCCAGATGCGCTTGCAAAGACGTCTTAAGATAGGACTTACCATGTGGACTTATAGCATCAACTGGGAGACAAAGGCTCCTGCATGCTTCCTAGAGCCCTCCTCACACACGCTGCACTCAGTGGGAGCTGGGTATAGGACAGATGCAAAGCTATAGATATGCAAACTCAGTAGTCATGCTCTTAAGGGCTGAAAGAGCAAAGAGCAGATCTGCCATGGTATAGGCCTACACACATGGTATAGCCCTTTTTGCCAGGGACCAGAGGATATATAGCCCAGTAGTTATATCTCTCCCCAGGGAGAGCTGACCTGATTTAACTAAACCCAAAGATAAACTCCTGGCGAAGCATGAATGTGCCTTCTTGCAGGGGTGTGATGAGCAGGGGACATTAGAAAAGTCAATAGGCTTTCTATTTCTAGTCCATCTTTTTGCCTTGGCTACCCTTCTGTACTCTGAGATTCCTGTTAAGCTCATCCTTTCTTACTTCTTTCTAGGTCCTTTCTGATAGTTTAAATAAAACTTCACTCTTTTAGGCAATAGCCATGGATGGAAGAACAAGGATGGGGGGAATCTGTGATGAGTACAGAGATGCAACTCTCAGGGAGGGAGATTACTTGCATGCGGGTGAAGTTGGAGTGGGTGGACTTGATCATACAGAGCTAGAAGCTGTGCTTGGCATTCACAAAAATTATAACATTTTACCAAAAACTGGTAACAGTTTAGATGAGACCAGAAAACCAAAGGTTTTCCTTCAGAGGGACTGAAGATAGAATAATAGAATGGTTTGGGTTGGAAAAGAGCTTAAGATCATCCAGTTCCAACACTACCATGAGCAGGGACACCTTCCACTAGACCAGGTTGCTCCAAGCCCCGTCCAACCTGGCCTTGAACACTGCCAGGGATGGGGCAGCCACAGCTTCTCTGGGCACCCTGTGCCAGCACCTCAGCACCCTCACAGTAAAGAACTTCCTTACGTCTAACCTGAACTTCCCCTGTTTCAGTTTGAACCCATCACCCCTTGTCCTATCACTACAGCCCCTGATGAAGAGTCCCTCTCCAGCATCCTTGTAGCCCCCTTCACTGGAAGGCTGCTGATATGGGCATGGAGAAGCAGAGAGTTTGGTGTGCAGAGAAGAAAGTGCTAAAATAGCATTATGGCTTTGCAAGCTGTAGCTCTTCAAGCTGTAGCACGGGTGAACAAGAGCTTGTGCTGCCTAGAGCTGTGTGGTTGTGTGGGAAGCCAATGGAGGAGGATAGGTGCCAATGACAACAGAGGGTGGCACACTTATGGGCTGGGACAAAGGCAGCAGGGTTGAATTCTCATAGCACTGTTTCCTTCTGGCCCACAGATGCGCTACACAAGGAGGGTGTCAGTCTGGCCTGTGGCTTTCGTTGGGGGGCTGCGATATGAATCCCCCAAAGTGAGCCCAGCAGGGAAGGTAGTCGGCTGGAAAACCGTCTTTGACCCAAACAGGCCCTTTGCTATTGACATGGCTGGGTTTGCCATCAGCATCAAGCTGATCCTGGAGAAGCCTCAGGCCAGTTTCAAGCTGGAGGGAGTTAAAGGAGGCTATCAGGAAACCAGCCTGCTGAAGGATCTAGTGACTATGGATGGGCTGGAGCCCAAGGCAGCCAACTGCACAAAGGTGAGTAGGACATGAGACCTTGAAGATACATTCTCCTTGCTGGGTCCTGGCTGCTTTTACAGCCTCATGCCATGTGCCTCCACCTTCCACTGTGCTGCAGTGCTGAGTGGGGCTGAGGCAGACAGACAGGGCCTGCCTGATTATTCACAGATGCAGGGCTCTGAGGGCACTACGGAACAGTTAGTGCCGTGCACTCTGTGTTAATGAAGAGCCTTAGATGTTCAATTCATGCCCAGATTCCTTCTCCAAAATCCAGAAGGACTGGCAGAAGGTTGGTCTGGTTTTGGTCCAGAAGCATCCTTCCTCCTCGACACTGTTTCATGTGCCTGTGAAGTCTCTCCTAGGCTCAGCCCCTGTGAACGATGCTTCAAACAGCTGTGAGACCTGGGTTTCTGATGATCTCACACGATGGATGCACTGCTTTTGGCATTCCTTTGGCATCCAGAGCCCCTGAACTCTTCACGATTCCCTCTAGGTGTTGGTGTGGCACACAAGAACTGAGAGGCCCACTCTGGTTAATGAAGGCAAGCGTGGATTTACAGACCCCAGAGTAGAGGTGTAAGCAGAGAGCCAGCTCCAGGGTGTGAGTACTCTTGTCTTTACTGCTTTTGGCAAGGTAAATAATCTGTACCTGTTTCCTTATTTATGCTATTGTTTCCTCCAAGTCTATATATATGAATGTCCCAGTAACTCCTTTACCGTGCCACCCGTTGCACAAGAAGTAGATTCTCACCTTTACTCACTGAGTCAGGTTCAGCAGCAGGATGGGGGATTAAGGCAACCACAGGAATGTATCAGAGATCAGTGCTATGTTCTTAGAAGCAGAGATTGCTAAAGAACAGGTTTCAGAGAAGCTGTGACCTCCTCTGCCCTCTGATCCCAATGTCTGCCCTTGGCAGATTCCTAACCCAAAAGTCCCAAAAGAATAAAGGTATCCAGTTTGGGAGTACCCAGCTCTTTCTGGAATCACTTGTATCTGTGGCAGGATAGAGGATGCTGAATGATTTATTCATACTTTAGAAGATACTTCAGGGCTGCTTCCAGCCCTGACCCCAATATCCTGCTCCGGCAGGGGGATTGGACTAGATGATCTTTTGAGGTCCCTTCCAATCTCTAACATACTGTGATACTGTGATACATGTCAGCTGAGCTCTACCAGTGGAAGTAAAACTGACAGCTTTTATACAGGCAGTCATGAGTATTCCACTGCACTGATCTGCTGTGTGCATTACTAGTAGCTGCATACAGTATCTCCACATCACCTCATCATCTCTGAGTGACAGCCATACGAAGAGTGTAAAGCAATCCCAGGGCCCCCACATCCAGCAGTAGATGGGACAGACAGTTGCTAAACAGAGATACCTGGTGCCACTATGGGAACCCTGGGGCAGCCTACCTGTAGGGCACTAAGTCTGAACCATATCTGCCAGCTTTCCATTAGTATCTCAGATAACCCAGCAGCCCATATGTGATGCTAGGCACCCATGCATGGGCAGAAGCCCCTCTTTTAAGCTGTGCTTCTGTGAAATCCACTAGCAGTAACTGGCTCATTTTGCATCCCCACCATGCCGTAGGCTAAAGCTGTGATTGCCCAAACTCAACTCATAAGGAGTCAGATTCCAGTTAACTGGTCTGGAGGTACGCCTTTGTAAAGGATGAGCAGATTAGACCTGCCTTGCCTCCTTGTCAGAAGAGGGGTATACTGCTCCACTACAGATGCAAAGTGTGGATGTGATGCTTTCATAAACGTGCCATTTATGTATCAGCACTTTTGTCCTCATCCTCTCCCAGCCAAACTCATCCATCCTCCATGAGAAATGCCACTCACCTGCTATGGAATCTCATGGGAATAGTTTCCCATACGTCATTAGTTGTGGGAAGCAACCAGTCTGATAGATCAAGGCACTGCCACTCATTCACCAGCAGGACTTGCACCTTTATCTAGAGCCATCCAGTCAATCCAGAGTGTCAGCTGGGTCAGCTCTGTGTATTTATAAGGAGCCTTCCACTTGCATTAGCAGGGAATTTGACCACAGCCTCTTCTGCATCGCTGCCAAGTGGGAAGGTGGCATCCACTTCAGGAGATACCTGCAAGGTAATTTACTTGACTGCCCAGCCATGGAAAATCATTAGATTCCCCCCTTTAAAGTTTTAAATTGAGATCTCTGCTGATGGCTACAGTGCTTTAAAGGTCCTTACTATCAAGGCTGCTGAGCCTCAGAACCTTGACAGACAGGATGTAGATAAGCCAGCACTGAGAAAGAAAAAGAAGGTAAAATTGCTCCCCTGAGGATGTTCCGTTCTTAGACACAATAGGGAGAATATTTCTGTCTCTCCCTCCTGGCAATCAGTCCTTGCTGAGGATAAGATCAAACCAGTCAAGCCCAGACCTTCCAGAGGCCTCTTTCCCCTTTAACACTTGCAGATGCGAGCCAGGCAGACAGTGCCTGGTGTGGGATTTGGTGCTTTGTTTGATCTCTAGTTGGACCACTTGCATGGCTGCTTGGCACATATCTTGGTGGATTGTCGCCAAGGGACCTGCTCATCATGTGAAGATCAGGCTTCAACTGGCACTACATAAATAGTAGGTATTTTGTCCCAGCTGGATTGCACTGTATTCCTTGCCCCCATTCCCACCACCTGTAGTGGTGTCCAGCTAAGGCTGGGAGAGAAAACTATGCACCAAAGCAGAGGTGCAAAGGGGGAGCAATAACACACATCAGGGTTTTGCTTTTCATGAGAGACGACAAACTCATAAGTTTTAAACCCAGTGTTTTTCCTTTCTTCCCTAGAAAGTCTGAGATGTGCTGGGATTGGGTTGAGAGCCCCAGCTACTTGCCTAACCTCTTTGCTCAAAGTACAGGAGCAGGAAGGACAAAAAGGTGGTCTCTGAGCCCGAGCTGGACAAAGGCTTTCACTGTGGAGATGTGGGAAATGGCTGTAAGCCTGGTCTCTGAGAAACACTATGGGGACATGCAGAGTAGGAAGGGGAATGTGGACGATGGGAAAAATCCTTGGGATCTTCTGTATTGCAACCAAAAGCTCTCCCAGAATCCGTCCCTACCAACTGTAATGAAACCCCCTTAAAACACAGTGTTTGGCTTCTAAGAGGAAGGACAGAAAACAATTTTGCTTTATACTTTTCTTTTTAAAGCCCTGAAAACTGTCACTCAGGACTGGTGTTAAAAGAACTACCTGTTCCTATTGCTAACATCTATTTACAAGCGCCCAAAAGAGAAGAGTTTCCTTAGGTTAGCACAGAACTCCTGCTGCCTTGTGACATTTGGAAACAGGGGAAGTTGTTCATCTGCATTTCAGAGCTCGCAGACAGACTGAACAGGGATCCTCACATCTCATCCTCCTGCTCTTTCTTTTAAGATAGGCTAAAATAATTAGTTTATGGGGAGAAAAAAATACCCTTCAAAACCTGTTTCTGAGCCATAAATATCTTCCAGCTAGGACTGTAATGCGGATGTAACAAGCAGCTTTTAAGCCATATCCTAGCCCAAAGCATGGTGTGATTGAGGAACCTGGCTACTGATGCCTGCCTAGTGCCTGCCTGAGCTAGGAGACAGCTGTGTTGGAAAAGCATCTCCTGCCCTGCTGTCCTGGGTGTAGCATTGACACCTCTAGCTCCTTCTTGCCTCACCTTGTGTTTGTTTTGACAGAGGCAGCGGGCAGTGATCGCTCCCAAAGTCTGTCATCAACCCCAGTGGCCTGTTCTGCCCAGCTCTGCTTCACTGCTGGAGGATGCTAAACACCCCCAAACCTCGCCACGCCGATCAGCTCCCACTGCCTGAAAGGTGGTAACAAGCAGGGACAGAGCTGATGTGGTGCCCTGCGATCCTACAAGCTCTTCACCCTTGACGTCATGCACTGGCTCCCATTCCCCACTTCGGAGAGGAGTGTTTCCCTTCCCCTGTGGGCTCTGTGTTTTTAACTACTCATTAGGATTTATTACAAGTGATCTCCATTCTTGGCTGTGCCAGCATAGAGGCTGAAATCCAGGATGGGTGCAGGTGCCTCTGAAGGTCTCTCTGGGATATTGTAAAGCCTAAGCTTCAGTGCAGCAGCTCAGAGCTGCAGTGGTTCAAGAGTTAGCCCATAAGCACAAATGTGGACCTGCTGGCCTGAAGGTGGTACACTCTCAAAACAGCTTTAAAACAAAGCTAGCCCAAGAGAGGGTCTCCCTCCAAAGGATGGACATAGATACCGACACAGATCAGCCTTCAGTACTGGAGAAGGACCAGTGCTGAAGGGGTTTGGGAGCTCCAAAGGGACCTGGTGCCTATGCCACAGCTGAGATCTTGAACTGCCCTCACTTAAGGTTGGTTTGGAAAATGCTGCCCCACATCCCCAGGCCCAGAGCCCCCTGGATGAAGTTCCTCTCCTGCTCAGGGAGACTCAGCAGGTACCATGCCTCCTTGTCTCACTGCAGGGGCAAAGGCAGGTGGACTTGAGAGTGTTGTTCCTCGCCTTGAAGCCTCCAGTAGCCTCAGATCATGTATGCAGTCTTGCTTCCTAGGCCTCCAGAGAGGAAGACTCCTCTGCGAGATGGAGGTGGGTGAGAAATGCTCAGAGAAGAGGAACTCTCAGCCTGCACCCATCTCCTGTAAGAACACAGAGGAATGTGGAGCAGCATCAGTGGGAAACTTATCTTGAGCACACGGATGCCAACTGAAATAGCAAGTGTGACAATGTTTTCCAGTTGAACTCGGAAAGGCATGTGTGTTGCTGTGAAGAGAGAAGAGACAGTGTCATGCGGAAGGGTTTCCCTTTCCCTCAACAACACAGGAAGGCAGCCAGGTGGAAGGCAGCCCACAAAGGAGGAGGTGGCAAATGAGGACTGAAAGAAGGATGCACCGGATGAAAAGCACAAGTGTTGGTACCATGTGTGTGTGCGTGGGGAGTGGTGTCGCTGTGGCTTTTCCAGGAAGAATCCTTGAATGACCCAGAAACCCCTCTGAGCATATCCTGACATCCATCTTCACTCAGGCCATGAGAAACAAGGCTTTAGGTATCCAAAACACATCGAGGGGGAAAGCTATGAGCAATTGAGTTATCCCCCAGCCCAAGAGATTCTGGGCTGACAGGAAACTTATTTATTTGTTGATTTATTTATACCAGAATTCTTCTCTGCCTGTTCCTTGTTTAGGTTTGGGGTTTAGCTTAGATCACCTGAGGCATTCCTGAAGAAAGAACATTACCCCCCTCACCGCAGAGCAGCAGAGCTTGCTGTTCACCAGTGAATGTCCTATGTTCTGCGCTCCCTAGGGTTTCTTCACAGTGGTGTCTTAAACTGGCAAAATCATCAAAAACACAGCAAGGAAGGGAATTACAGTTCCTTTATGCAGGAGATGTGGGTGGCACTAAGCTTATTGCTCCCTAGCAATCAGAGCGAGGTAAAGAACATGTGCAAAGGAAGGCTTCGCTCAGCACACAGTCCCCATGAGATCTCAGGAAGCCTCCATGAAGGGGGCTCTTTGAAGGCTATCTGAATGAGGGGGTCAGTCCATGTTCCCTCAGATGGGGAATGAGCAGACCTGCATCCTGCTATAGGAGGCCAGCTAAAGCATAGGAAGGGGCAAAGGGATTGAGATGCCTCCTATCAGAGAAGGAGGCAGGAGAAATCAAGGTTAGAGCAGCAAATAGAGAAATGGAGACTGTGTTTAGTGAGGCTGAGGGTGGGCTCTTTCTGAATGAACACACCCAGCACTACAAGGCCCCCCTGCCAGCCACCACAGCATGAAGGAATACTGAATGGGCCATAAATAGTGTCTCTTTTGGGGCCTGGAAAGGTTCTTAGAGAGAAAGGATCTGGCATACTGCTTCTGGATAGCATGAGGGAAACCCAGCATCCACAAAACACTTCTCTTTTCCATGTGTCCGAGCTCTGTGTCCTGTCTTCTGCAGAAGGTAGCAGGCCTTGCACTCCAGTGCTTTGCCAACCCATCGTGCCAGCAGGCAGGTGGGCTCAATGCTTTCACTCAGCATTAAAGCAAGATTAAGTCCCCTTCTTTGTAATTTCAATGAATGAGCAAGAGCGAGGGAATAAAGGAGTTGGTTCATGACCTCCATTTTCTCCTCTGAGATGGGCAGGGTTTCTGCCCGTATGAACAGAGGAGGATATGGTGATTAATTCCCTGACCTCTGATCTCACACAGCTCCTACACAGGGGTTTGGCACTGACAGTGGGTGTTTGTAGCAAGGATCTATTCTCACTGCTAAGGATACCCCCACATACATGCTTTTAGAAAGTTCTTCTCTCTGCATCCCTATAAGAAAGTGAAATCATTATTCCTGGTTTTTCCAATGGGGACCTGGATTCCAGAGATAGGCACTACACCATCAGTTCAGTGCTGGTCGGAGGCTGCTCTCAAGACCAGCCCTGTTGTGCCATCTCCATCCTTGCCCCAGCCTGGCCCTGTGGAGGAGACTTTCCGTGAGTCAAGAATCAGTCACAGGACCAAGACCTCGTATGGACAGCATGGATGGACACAGCTGATACTGCAAGCTACAGACATTTGGACCTGCTCAATGGAAATACTCTTTTCCCAGTAGAGCAGCCTAAGGACTGCTGCTGGCCAGGGTGTATCAGCTAAGGGTAGGTAACAGACAGCACAGGTTAAGAGGGTTGTTCGTTAGCAGAGCTGTGTGGGAGAGCCAGAGTCAAGAGTTCCAGGCTGCAGGGGAAGTAAGGATGGAAGCTGCAGGTGAAGCCTGAAGCATTTAAAGAAGGTATCCCAGCGCCTGGTTTTTACTAGCATCTTAGTATCTGATATTCATGTTCTCTGAGATTCATCCAATTCACCAACCAGTGAATATTACTAACATTTCCTGTTGCAGAAAATACTGTTGATGAAGGAAAGAGAATGTCAAGAAAGTACTTTTTAATGGTTATTTATTTATATTGAATGGTACTAGAGCATTATTAAATATGATGTGAATAGTACGATATTGCACCGTTGTCTTGTCTTGCAGCGTAAACTCGTGGCTGTCATTTTGGTGGCATGGCGACTGTCCCCACTGAGATGGGAATGTCCACATCTTGGAAGTGAGAGGTGGTCAAAACACCCCGCAGACAGGCAGTTCTCCATCACAAGGGAGGGAGGAAAGGTGCCACAAGCTGCCTTAGTGAAATAGCAAGCTGCATTGCATGGTCACACATAAAAAAGGCTGCTGCCGGCAATCAGCAGGATGCTGATTTCTGTGGAGGTTTGCTGTGTGACAGTACTCATAGAATTAGGGAATGGCTTGTGTTGGAAGGGACCTGAACCAGTTCCAACCCCCTGCCATGGGCAGGGACACCTTCCACTACAGCAGGTTGCTCCAAGCCCCTGTGTCCAACCTGGCCTTGAACACTGCCAGGGATGGGGCAGCCACAGCTTCTCTGGGCACCCTGTGCCAGCGCCTCAGCACCCTCAGGCTTGTGGCCCTCTTCTGTACAGCCCAACGCATCTTCTGGATGAGGGGAAGACACCCAGGAGCAGCAACCACCAGGATAAGGCATTACAAGGTCTAACCTTCCTACCAACTGCATGCTGTTTCAGTCCCTACTTCTTTCAGTCCCTGCAGGCTACAACCCACAGGGGAAAACGTATGAGCTCTCACTGGAGAGATGTCAGTGCAATGGGATAAAGGTAGGGAAATGACTCTAGTCCTTCCTTCTCTCTCCAGACTGCAGGAGAATGGATGGACCTATTTGACAGCAGCCTGCTGTTGGCTAATCCACAAACCTGGGAGAAGCTAGTAGACCCAGGTTACTACTGTTTGTAATGCTCTCACTGATTTACTCTGTCATTCGGCCAAGGTATGTGACATCAGCTGTTTGGTGTTATTAATAACAAGAAGGGATCCACCTCCCAGAAACATAGAAGCACTTTTAAGGCTCTTTTGAGGAAGCATTCCTAAAAATTTAGCATACTAGAACACAAACCCCATCTGCTTCTGTGTAATAAAAGTCACAGTCATGAAGATGTTGCTTAAAGCGCTATGTGAAGTTCACAAGCAGTGATCCTGCAGAAGGCTTAGGAAGAACTTGCCATGGCAAAGGGACCTGAAACATCCACCCTACTAGAAAACACAGTCACTCCCCAAAAAGAGGGACAGCTCTGCTTGCCTGTAGTGGCTGAAAGCTCCTACAATGCCTGTACAAGGCTAAATGTTACCTTTCTCTTTCCTTGATAGAAACCCTGGGGTTTGGGAGGGTGTTGTATAAGACATGTTGACCGACACTGCATGAGCCGCTTTGCTTTGGTATCGCTGTTACACCAGCACATCCCCTCTTTGAGCACTGCATTTTCCCAGCCAAGCTTCCCAGGCACTCTGCTGTGTTTTCAATAGGGATCTAGTGCAGGCCCCAGGAGACGAGGCATGGAGAAGAAGGGGAAAGAGCAAGAGCAAGCAAGAATGAATGTTATTAAACAGAGCAAGGCACTTCTCTCAGTCTCACATCACGTTCAGGGCTGACAGGAGGGAGGGGAAGGCCCCTCCCCGAGGACAACCCAGAGGCTCTCGCACAAACTTAATTTCAAGCTCTGTTGAAGATGGTGTTTGTCTGGGTTTTTTTTTAATGCATTCAATTTAATTTCTCAGGCAGACATGTGAAAATGAGAAAGGCAGACCTTTGACTGAGGAGACAGCCCGGTGCCTGCTTCTTACACATCCGACTCTCACATTGTTCTCCTCCATCACTGCCCTCAGTAAATCTGTGTGCAGGGGTTGCTCGAATGCCTGCCATCTCCCTTCCACGCTTCACTGGAGACAGTTACATTGGTTTGTTTGCATTTAAGCACTCCAATGTATTTTTAATTCCAAACACACCACAGCTTTCCATGGCTGTGTTTGAAACAGGAGCACTCTGACCTTGAAAAGGACCTGCAGGCACCAAGAGGTTCTGATCCTTACGCTGCTGGCCAGTCCGTCTTTGCTTGCTGTGTTTCAGATCCCCCCCATTTCAGTGACAATGGTTGGAGAGGAACTGCATTTAGTTTTGGGAGGCAACTGAGGGAGACTTCCCTGGATACAGACACATGCAGTTCAGCTCCTCTGCAGGCAGTTGGTCTGGTTAGTTGTATGTTAGTTTTCCAGCCTTAAGAGCACATATACATGGTAAAAATAGAGATTGGGGAAGGATTTCCATCTGACCTGCTGCATCTGCCCTGGAACTGATAGAAGGTGACAATCTTTACAACTAGGCCCTGAATGAGAGGAAGTTAGCAGGGATGCTGGCACAGGACAGATACAGATCCTGCCTCTGAGACACATGGAGGCAGACGGACCCTGCCCAAGTCATTCCTACATTGTAATTTCCTACTGTGACCCAAGGGAGGACTGCAAGCAAAGCATAAAGCATAAAAACATAAAGCAGAACCAGGGTCTATAATAACTGCTGTCTGCAACCCTGGGTCACACCACAAAAATCTTGGTTCCTTTGTTCCATGGTTGACGCAGATATTAATTCTTTCCTGTCCACGGCATTGTACTCGCTGGAGCTTTCAGCAGAACATCAAGCACTGCTTTGTTTTGTCGAGGGGAAGCCAAGCTGGGTGGGTTTGCTGTGGTGGTGGAGGGAACGGCACAGGGAGAACGTAAATGGCAGAGCAGTGTGCAAGGAAACCAATGCAGCAGCATTGGGTGAGTGGGTTTCAGTAAAGCAAGACTTTGCCCAGGCAAAAGGAATATTAAATAGGCTTTTGATTGTTTCTTTTTTCTTTTTTAATTTTAAAAAACAAATTAAAATTAAATGTGAAATCACAATTTGCATTCATGCCTTAAGCAATCCACTTAAATTGGGTAATCAGTCGTTCTGCGCAGCAGAATGACTGAGGTCAAGTTTCCTGTGCATTGGAATCCAGCTGTGAAGCAGGAGCTCTCGCAGCTCCCCATATAAAAGCTGTCACTCCATCCACCCCTCCTTTGTGCCTTGTCACCCAGTTTGGAGGGCGAACAGCAGCACTGGCCTGGCTGGTTTGAGGCTGGGTGCACTGGCTGATGGGCACCTTGTGAGGCTGAGCTAAGGGACCTGCACTTCTCTCACAGGCACTTACTTCACTGCTCTCCTCAGTGCAAACCCAGCCAGCGACCGCTCTTTGAAGCCCTGCAGGGATTTAGTGTCTGTAAGACTTCTTTTTTCTGGGCCAAATTTAAGTGAAAACGGGCAACACGTGGAGAATCTGTCAGCAGAGCAGGTGGATGGACCATCGGTGCTATCTCCTAAGCCACATTGGCTCCAAATGAGCCAGTAAAGAGACTGGTGTAAAAGCCAAGGTTGTTTGCTACAGCCAGACCATGGCAGGAGGTCCCTTGCTGTGGAGGCTGTGCTGCTGCAGTCCCTTCAGGCACAGGTATTCGCTCCAGTTCATCTCCCTCTGCTCAGTTCATAGCACCATTCAATCCCAGACTGGTTTGGATTGGAAGGGACTTCAAAACCCATCCAGTTCGAATCGGATGCCTTCCAGTAGGCCAGGCTGCTCATGAACGCATAGCTACCAGCCCATAACTAATTAAAAGCCGGCACACTGGCCCTGTGTTAAGGGGAGAAGCGCCGCGATGCCGCTAAGCAGCCCCCCTTTTACCCCGCTCCCTTCTACCCCACAGCGCCATTACCCACTGCCGCGACCGCACTGGGCCTGACGGAGGGTTGGAACTACACCTCCCAGCATGCTCCGCGGCGGCGCAGCCCGGCCGGGGCTTACGTTTCCCCGCTTTGCATGCTGGGAGCTGTAGTCCCTCCGGAAGAGCGGGCGGGGCTGCGTTGGGTGTATATGACCGCGCCGCCGGCCGGCTGCTCCACAGCGGGGTAAGGTATGGCCTTAGAGAGGGGTGGACTGGGGTGATGTCGGGCGTCTACGGGAGGGTTCCAGGCGAGCCTGCTCTGTCACCTCCCATAGCCGCTCGGCCGTGCTTTCCGCCGCTGTTTCTGTCTCAAAGCGCTGTCCCGCCGGGGTAGGCGTAAGGCTGCGAGAGGAAGGGGGCCGCTGCGCCTGTGGCTCTTGTGCTCCGGGTGGGCTTGAGCAGCTTTTTGTCTCCTTCAGCCCGCCCCTCGGAGCCTGTGGTGGAAAGGGGAGGTGAAGCCGTGCTAGAGGAGCGGGCTGCCGCCTCCGAAAGTTGGAGGAGGAGGAAGAGGAGGAGGAGAAGATCTTCCGTGCACAGCGATGTAGCCCTGAACGTGGAACAGCACCTCAGCTCCTCACCGGTGTGACTGCAGAGCATGGGCTAAAAACGATGTCCCTCTCCCGTGCGGAAAACCCTTGTTTTCTGCTGTTTCTGTTTGTCTTCCAAGCGGTGTTTATCCTGATCCTGTACCGAGGTGGACCTTCGCATGTGTTCCGCGGGTTCTTAGACACACCGCAGGTCCTGGATTACTCCAGGACTCACGATGTGTACACAAACCTCAGCTTGTTTACCCGGGTTCCTAATGAAGAAGCTAAGCCCTACTGCTCGGCACGGTCACCGATATTTGGTAGGTATAAACCCACAGTGGTTGCAGTGACTTCTTTGCTACTGATAATGCTGAACGCTTTGTAAATACAAGTTGTGTGTTTCGCCAACTTTTTCACTTTAAAACTGTTATTCTGGGGTAATACACTGACAGTTTTTTCTTGTGGTAATTGACTCATATTGGTTATGTGAGGAAAAGTGCTTTATTGACCTAAAAACTTCCAATCTGAAGGATTTGGCTACGCAGAGATTGTGGAACAAGAGTGAAAACAGTGCATATGGGTTTAATGCCAAGTTAGTAACATTTTGGATTCTTTTCCTTTGGCAGTCCTGTATAAAATATGCCAGCGTTGTACTTTGGTAACTGCATGATTTTGACCTCTGACTCACTGTAACTACGGGGTTCTTTGCTCAGCCTTTACATCAAGCCTCTATCTCAATATAAATCCATTAAGTTGGCTTTAAGTATTGTTTGGATGAGAATGTAGATTGGCGTCTTGCTCTTCGTGGCCATCTTTTTTGGCCTATGATTGTTATGCATCCTTTAGACTTAGAAACTTCTCATTTAGACTTAAAAGTCTGGTCATAGGCTAATTTGTGTTTATACTAGGACCAAGTTACAGCTGACCCTAGAGGCAGCATTCATCCAGCTACTGCACTGCTAAAAACAGTTGAGGAACTGTAAGTAAGTACAAAGTGGAACACATAAAGCAAGATTGTTGGTGGTAAAAGTGGTGTGTCTCCAATAGTAATGAATCAGGTTAACTCAGGAATGGATGAGTTGGTGAGTATGAACTTACAGCTTGTTTGGGAGCACCTGTTTCTCTGTAGTATGTTACCCTTGTCTGATTTTCTGTACTGCACAGGTTTATGCTTAGCCAAGTCTTGAACACACTACTTGCAACTACTACTTAGTAGTTGCCCTGCTGTTCTAGGAGAGCTGGTCACCTCACATGGAGCACAGTAAGCAAATGGCTCTTACCACCTGGTTTAAGGTGGAAGTATTGTGGAAAGCCAGTGCTGTGGTTACTCTTCTGTCAAGTTGCTTACTTCAGTTAAGAGAACTCTGCTTTGGATGAGCCTTTTTAGACTGCAGTCTTTGTAATGGTGTTTGTTCTTTTGGGAAGATTTCTTCCTTCCTCTGGTGCTGAGGTTAAATGAAGTAAGTGCAGGATGTATGATGAAACTACATGATAACTTTTGGGAATATACCTCAGTATTTCCCTTGGAAACAGCTCTACTGAAATACTTATAGAACAGGGCCTTTTTGCACAGGTGCCAGCTGGAACGGGCTTTGTGCATCCTCTGTTCATCACTAGGTACAGCCCATCAGTTCTTTTGGGAAGCTACAATCCTGTGCTTCAGCCTGATCTGTTTTATTGGAAAAAGCACAGCAGAAACGTGCCTGCACTCTGCTTGTCCCTGCTGCTGAGAATCTGCTGCCCCACAGAGAGTCAGATGAGAAAGCTTTGGTCTCAGAAAAGCAACACAATTAGGTGCAGTTCTATGCAGCCTGCAAGCCATCAGAAAAGTAGTGACCTATATAAAGGAGGCAGTCACAGAGTAAAGTTACACTGATTGGTGCTCTCAGAGCTGTGAAATCTTTTGAAGACCTCTTCTTCTGCCCATCCCTGATTCAGATCAGCTGAATTAAGCTGCAGATTAACTTTTACTCAGTGATGTTTCCCTTTAAATGTGGTAAGTAAATTATTCCTTCTGCTATCACTATGTGCCAGCCTTTCTGGGTGGTTTGGTTGAGGTTTCTTTTAGCAGAGAAACGTGTGCTGCTCTGCAAGGTGGTTGCTCTTTGTTCTGTGTGTGATGGTCACGTATGAATAGATACATAAATACTGTATGAATGTCTTGATCAACTTCTCTTACGGGACTGAGAGAATGACTGAGACTTGTGGGCCTTTAATTTCATAACTCCATTAAATGAGACTTCAAAACCATTCTCTAGGACTCCAGTCTCCAGTTCAGAGCTGTGGCCACTCCAAAGTGTGTTAAAGGAATTGGAAGAATGCCAAATAGCTTAAATGGTTTCTGCATCAGGGCTTTCATGAAGTGCAGTGCTTCTCCCACTTATGTATATAGTAGATCATCTGGATAACTGAATGTAAGATCAGCTCATCTGGCTCCCACCTCGTAAATCTACAGCATCTTGGCTCTTCCAGGCCTGTGGAGTAAGAATTAAAGTATAATTGAGGAACATCTTTGCCTTGGAGGGACTGGACTTGCTGACTGATGTTACTTTTTTAATGCTTAGTAGTGTCCACTGAGCATTTTGCAACCAGCAGCTTGAAAAGCGTTGTACTAGATCCTCAGTGTCTTCATTAATGCTGTGAATAAATCACTCCAGTTCCTTTAAAGGTAAAGGTTTCTACACAAATAGCCAGTTGCCTGTTTTCCTTTGTTCTTGGCAAAAGCAAAGTGTCCTCTGACTTTCTGACATTGCATGCAGGATGTGTTGTTTCAGCTCATCTTTTCCTCTGAGCAAGAAGAACTTTGATGCTGGAAGACTTAAAGAGGTACCTTCATGTATGGTGTGTGCTGAATGAGTTGGTTTGGGCCTCAAAGGCTTAAACAGTTGAAAGTTCTGTTTGTAACTCTGCTGTTTATACTCTGCTCATGCTATAGAGGAATTTCTTTTCCTCAAAGCCCTTCTTAGACTAGTTACTCCCTGTCATAGCCTTTCCATGAGTGTAACCATTTATTATGGTAATGAGTGGTTCCTGCTGTTTTTTTAATGGAAGCTCTCCTATTAGAGTTTCTTCTCTTGGATTTAAAAAGCAGTGAAAAGGTGGGAATGCTGAGATTCATTTTCAAGCACAGTTGAAGCAGCCTTGTATTCTGGCATTAGAAACTGCTCCTTAAGTTAGGGCTGTTGTTCTGCTTTTTTTTCCTGCTTCTTTATTCAGACAGTGGTAGAAATATACAAGTATGACTCTGCTAATGTAGTGTGTGGTGCTGTACTTTTTCAGTGAGGTATTTGTTCATCTATACCGCTGTTCCCATTTGCTCAGCTTGTGTAAGTTCTACTTACTGTCTTTGAAATGTGTCATTATAGCTGCTAACTCCAAATGCGTAGCAAGGAGTTGAGAAGTCGTGTAGTTTCTTTCCAAAGATGGGATAGATAGGGTCACCATCAATAGATTCCCACTGATAGTCAAATGTGTTGCCTACAAAGTAAAGCAAGCAAGGAGTGTGCTGTCACTGGCACCAGTAACAATTCAGACAGAGATTTGTGGGGTTTAACTCTATACATAAAAGTTTCATATCAGTTAAACATTATGTGAAGATACAAGCTCAGGAAGAGCTTAGGAACCATCCTATGGAGAAGTGTCTTGGATGCTTCAGGGTGTTGATCCTGCACCTTGTCTGAATTGGGATCCTGTGCCAGCATTTCCAAGATGTCTTTTCCTTCTTTTCCAAAGCCGCACTCTAGCAGTTCTGTTTCTCTTTGGTCCAGCCTGCAACTGCTCTGTTCACAGCTGAGATTTAACTGGATTACAGTGCATTAGCCTCTTGGTAGTTGGACAGGAAAGAAACTGGAGAGCCACAAAGTAGCTTGTACCAAGCAGTGTAGGGCAGCAGATGTTTTGGGGTCTTAGGGACACAGACTAACTTCTTTTCTTCTGTGTTTCCATGGTATAGTGAGTTTCTGAGCTGAGGAGTGTGAGGTATGGAGTGAAACTATTGCATCTTACCTTACTCATTCCCTTATGTCCAAATTTAGACTGGATTGTTTGGAATTGAAGGATTATTGCTACAGAATCTTAACTCTGCAATACAAAGAGCCCTGATTGTATTATAGAACACGAAAGACTGCTGTTGTAGGAGAACAAAAGGGATTAATTCCCTCTCTTATATTTTCCTTGGAGCAATGATGTGTAGTTGAAATCCAATCTGAATATAACATTACGTTAGCAAGCTTCAGTTGTCATCAAATCAGTGGGTAATGGTGCTTCATTTAAAGATCTGATCATCAGGGAGTTCATAAATCTAAAAGCAATAAGAACTACAGGTAACAAAATGTTGGGCTCAAACGTGGTGGTCTTAAAGGCAGAAAAACAAACTGCACAGAATCAGAATCAACCAGGTTGGAAGAGACCTTTAAGCTCATCCAGTCCAACCGTTCCCCAGCACTGCCAAGGCCACCGCTAACCCATGGCACTGAGGACCTCTTCTACATGGTGTGTGAACACTTGCAGGGATGGTGACTCCAGCAGTGCCCTGGGCAGCCTGTTCCAGTGCCTGGGCATCCTCTGGGGAAGGAATTGTACCTCATCTCCATCTAAACCTCACCTGGCGCAGCTTGAGGCCATTTCCTATTGTCCCATTACTTGTTCCTTGGGAGCAGAGCCCAGCCGTCTCCTGGCTCCATCCTCCTTTCAGGCAGCTGTAGGGAGCAATAAGGTCCCCCCTGAGCCTTCTCTCCTCCAGACTAAACCCCCAGGTCCCTCAGCCGTTCCCCATCACACTTGTGCTCCAGACACTACACCAGCTCCATTGCCCTTCTCTGGCCCCGCTCCAGCACCTCAGTGTCTTATCTTGTGAGGGACCCAGAACTGAGCACCGGATTCAGGGTGCAGCCTCACCAGTGCCCAGTACAGAGGGAAGTAGTGTAGAAGTAGGTAATAACTTCATAAAACCTTAACCATAACTATGACCTAGATTCATGGGCCCACAGCATGATTCTCTGAAGTACTGCTCCTCTGTTTGAGGTATGGCAACATATTCACACTTCCTACTGAGGGCAACAGTCAGAATCATATTCCCCTGCATTTTAGATATTTAGGGAAGCACTGAAAAGTGAGTCAGCTATTGCAAGAGCTTGCTGACAAGCAAAATTCAGGTTTCCCTTTCAAAACCAAACCAAACCAATAAACCCCATGAAGTGGGATTCCCAGCAGCTATACCTTTCTGACAGCATGAGGAATGGCATTACTGGCTTTTCAGACTGACGCTCACAAAGTGCCCTTGCATGTTCCTTGAGGAGGGAAAGGGGACACTTCCCAATACAGGTTTGCCCATCAGAAATGGGAGTTACACCAACTAGTGAACTGTTTCCCAGTTCTGAATGGCCAGCTTGAAACTTACTCCTTAATGCTTGTTAGTGCTCAGAAAACCCCCAAACTTCCCCCCACAGCGGTGGAGGGGTGTTGTTGCTTCATGTCAGTTAAACAGGATGTGGGGGAACACAGGCTCTTTTTCTGTTGTGGTGAGAATTGTAACAGGAACTGGACTCTAGAATGGGCTGGAAAAAACCTTATGGACTCAACTGCTTCAGTGCTTAGACTTGACACATGCATGTACATTGCCCTGCTCAAAGGAAAGCTACTCAGCACCAGGCCTAAATAGTTGTTCTCTCAGGCTCCATTAGCAGAATGATTGATTTCAGTGGTTTAAGAGGGAGTCTTGACATACAACATCCCGAAAACTCACTTTGAGACATTAAGGATGAGCTTGGAAGGAAAAAAACCAAAACCAAACTAAACCAAACCACCAATAACTTCCCTGGCAGGCTTCTGGTGCAATCCCATACGTTGTCTTGGGGTAGCATGGCCTGCGGAGAACTGTTGGTGCTATTTCAACCTCATGTGAAATTGTCAGCTGTTACTTGTGATTTAGGTGAATCTTGCTTGTTCATTTAAGGAATAGATTTTCATTTTCTGCATTTGTGCTGTCTGTTTACCACAAGTTGACAGTGGCTGGAAGCCATGAAGAGATACGGGTTTAATATATAAACTAACAGACCTCTTCTGGTAGTTCCGGAACCTTCTCTTACTCCCCAGAACAGACACTGAAAGAATCGATTTGTTTCTCCATACTGCAGCAATAGCAGGCCTCTGACAAAATGTTAGTTCACACTTTCTATGGTTTCTTTCTTACCTGTGACTCGTCAAGCTCTTTCCATCTGATGAATGGAAGAATCCATCTAAAAATGCAGATTTTGCTCAGGTAAGAAATGAGGGACACATCCAATATGTTTTGTGTTTAATATCAGAGTGCTGAGCAGAGAAAGTACATCTCAGATGTAGTTTCTTTTGCTGCCCTGTGCTTCCTGAAGATATAACATATCTCTTCTTCCTGCTCAGTTGTTATCTGTTGCTCCCCAAATTCTAAAGCACTGCCTGCTTATCATAGTGCATATAGTTAAACGACACAGCAAGAACAGCCTTTGTGGCATGTACCTAGAATGTCAAATTGAGCTTGAACCTGTTTTAAGATAAAGCTGACACTTCCTGAAGTGTTTATATTCATCCAGGCTTTAAGCTGTTTCTTCCCCACCCTGCCAAATGTCCTTTTGGACATCCTCCATGCCCATATTAGCAGCTTTCCAGTATCTGAAGGGGGCTACAAGGATGCTGGAGAGGGACTCTTTGTCAGGGACTGTAGGAATAGGACAAGGGGTGATGGGTTCAAACTGATACAGAAGTAGTTCAGGTCAGATATAAGGCACTGGCACAGGCGGCCCAAGAAGTGGTAAATGCTCCATCCCTGGCAGTGTTCAAGGCCAGGTTGGATGGAGCCTTTGGTGACATGGTCTAATGTGAGGTGTCCCTGCCCATGGCAGGGGGGTTGGAACTGGATGATCTTAAGGTCCTTTCCAACCCAAACCATTCTATGATTCTATGTGAGTACCTCTGTTTGGTGGTGTTACCTGTTCTGCAGTAGGGCTGGTGTCTGAGGTAGTTAATATATGTAGCTGATATGATAGGTGTGAATGAAGGTTGAGAAACATCACTGGTCTTTACTTTGTTTCCCTTTTTTCTGTCTGCTCCTCACAGTTGGTCCATTAACCATCACCTTCAGAGTGCTCCCTAGTGAGAAAATGATCATCAGAAAAAACCCTTTCGTTGGGCCTGGTGGCAGCTACAGGCCACCTCACTGCCTGGCCCGCTACCGATCAGCCATTCTTGTAGCCTACAGGAACCAGAAGAAGTACCTTCACCACCTTCTCTACTATATCCATCCTTTCCTGCAGCGCCAGCAGCTGAGTTACACTATCTACTTGATTCAGCAGGTAAAGCTCAAGCAGATGTGCCCAGTGGGGTAGCTGGGCTTCCCAGTTCAGGATTAGGTTCTGAACGAGAAAGGTGACTTCTCCAATGTGGAAGTACCATTTCATGCATGGGCTGAGAGGAGGTCAGTTATATGCTGTCCCATCTCCATACCATCATTCTGCTATTGATTGGTTCTGCTTTTTCCCTTCTAGAGGGACAAAGTTGTCAGTAAGTGGTAACTTGTGTTTTCATCTCCTCAGGAGTTGCATGTGGCTTGTCTGTAGCTTGTCACTGTGGCTGTTGAGCAAAACCAGGGACACCAAATGCTAAAGTGAAATCGGGTGTTTTTTCAGCCTGTATCAGATAAAAACATCTGGTTTGACCCTCCTGAGGGGCAGCTTGGCTTATGGGTCTTTTAAAAGTGAGCCTTCTTCAGGTGCCCACGTTATATAGCCCCTGGAACAGCAAAGTGTACAACTGGGAACACTGGAGAGAATGGGTGATGTTTCTAGAGGCTGGGGCATGAAATCTGCAGCCAGGATTGATTCATCCCAACTTCATTCAGTCAAATCAGGCTACTTTTTGCTCACATAAATGTACGTGGAGTTCTCATCCTTGTTGTTTTGGTGAAGAAATGTAGGTTTGGTTTTACAGGCGGGGAATGGTACCTTTAACCGAGCAAAGCTGCTCAATGTCGGTGTCCGGGAGGCCCTGAAGGATGAAGACTGGGACTGTCTGCTCCTGCACGATGTCGACCTGGTACCCGAGAATGATTATAACCTCTATGTTTGTGATGAATACTATCCCAAGCACATGGCCAGTGCTATGGATAAGTTTCAGTACACGTAAGTACCTCCATTTCCTTTGGATGTATGCATTCTAATTGGTTCACTTTGGCATAGAAAGTAGGAATGGGAACAGTGGGAGATACACCTTTGAGAGGTTTTCTGTTTGTTAGTGTTGCAATAGTGACTTCCCCAGAAAAGGGTGTTCTTAACCTTAGGCATGCAGTGAGGAACAGGAACAGTTCCTTACCAGCACCTCCCTGTTCCACTCTCAGCTCAGCCTGGCAAGTGCCTGGCAGATTCCTGTTTGCCTTTCCTTCCAGGACAAAAGTAGAGGGTGGAAATTACTGGATCAAGTGGTAGGTGTGTGATAGAATGCAGGTATTTTGGACTGCCCAAGATGTGACTTTCAAAACCAGCTTTACGTCAGTCTGCTGGGGGAGAAGGTGGGAGGGATGGAACATGGTAGGAATTACACTGGGTTTGCTGTTTCGGGTTTTAGCACTGTTGTGACAGTGTCTGTAAGGTATGATTGATGTATGTATGATGGATGATGATGTTAGTTTATGGAGGGCTGGTATTATCCTTTAATACTGATATTTTTTCCCCTTTCTCTTTTAGTCTGCCATCTAAGTCGTTTTTTGGGGGTGTATCTGCTCTGACTCCAGAACATTACATGAAGATGAATGGGTTTCCAAACACATACTGGGGCAATGGTGGTGAAAATGATGACATTGCTACAAGGTACTAATGCTGAAACAGAACTAGGCTGGCTCATGACCATGTAGCATTACTCTGAGAAAGGAATTGAGATGATGGATGTTCCTTCATGTGGTTGCAGTTATTGTTATAATCCAAAATGCTGCTGGCATTGGGAATGGTTAATGTCAGCAGATGCTCAGAATCTCTGAATTCAGTCATTGTATGCTGGGAGGACAAAGCTTTCCTCAGACTCTGGAGGGCAGAATGTTACTTCATGTCCTTGTGCCTTCAGTGGCTCTGGAGTGTGTCCAAGGGGTTATAACCACCAGTAGCTGACAAGTGACTCCCTTGACATTAACAGTCCCAGGGGAGGGAAGGAATCTGCAGGCTTGATAAGAAAACCAAGAAGGTACTTAATAATGCTCAGCCAGTTGGGAATTTAAGTTATGTGAAGTGCACTTAGGTTGCTCCAAGTGTTATCAAATCACCAGTACTTGGAATTAAGGCAGATGAGTTCTGGCTGCAGGGCTGAGTGATGGAGAAGCCTGTGTACTCCTGTGAGCCAGTGGCAGCGAATCTGATGGGGTTTCTTGTACTTGAGTTGCCATGGCAGCAGCACACTGTACTAGTGAATACAATGAGTTTAGTTCCAACCTAATTCAGATCCTTCAAGTACAAAACCATGGCTGTAGCTGCTTTATTCAGCTTTGCTCTTGCACTGTGCACCTTTCTCTCGTGGCAAGCTCATGAGGAGTTTAGTGCACCAGCACTAAAGGCCTCGTGTGGTTTTTGTCTTGCACAGTGTGACAGGTTACACAGTGCAGTGTTCTGTTCCAGCACTGTAGGAGTTTTTAGAAAGCAATATTCTTCTCTGAATTGAAAGTCAGCTCTTCTAACATAGAATTCCTCCTTTTCCTTTCAGACAAAGCTTAACTAAAAGGGTGTAGGATTGTGTAGAGATTCAGCATTTCCTAAGGGAATCGAATGCTGGGGAAATAGATCCTTCCATCAAACATGGGTCTGTTCAGCTGTTCTTGGTACAGCTGAGGCACTTAACATGGCTTTTGGTACCGTGACGGTCATGGCTGCCTTAGGTTATGTACATCTCTAAATAGCCCTTTTGTGAAGGGGAGTAAATCCTGTGGTGTTTCTCTGAAGGTTCACACTAATGATTAGCAGTGTGGTGGCCACAGGTACACAGAGGCTGGGGCATTGCCTGTTAATGATTTATCTTGCCTCAGCCTGCTGGAGTGGGTCCAGAGAAGGGCAATAGAGCTGATGAAGGGCCTGGAGCACAAGTGTGAGGAGGGAATAGCTGAGGGACCTTGGTTTTTTTGGGGGGGGGAGTTTGGAGAAGAGAAGGCTTGGTGGGGACCTTATTGCTCTCTACAACTAGGGTTTAGGAGGATGGAGTGAGGTGGGGTCAGTCTCTTCTCCCAGGTAGCAGGTGATGGGACTTATGATCTTAAAGGTCTTTTCCAACTGAGCCAATTCTGTGATTCTGAGTTGGGAATGAGCTGCCTTGTCTTGAATGACCAACTGCTGGGATTTGCATTTTAGAGGGTGCTCACAGGCTTCTTACCCTGTGGCAACAAAATGACTGTTTGAAATTGGACACTGAAATGCAGTACTCTGCTTGTCTTAGCAAGCTCCAGGATCTGCCTGTTTTTAGAAGAAAACACTACTCAAACTGGTAGCATTTCGGGGTTAACATTATCAGCTCCAGGGAGGTCTGTTGGGTTCTTCTTAACAGTAAATGAATGTATTGACTCTTTCATGTTATTGTTTGAGTTGAATCTTGTAATGCAAAGCTAGTAGCAGCAAAGCTAGTTTAGTGTTTGTGCTTTTTCTTGTCTCTTTGATTTGATCTGCTTCTGTTCAGAAAACAAGCCTTGTCTAAAACTCAGTCTGAAATGACAGCGTGTCAAACTGTCCATGTTGTCATCATGTGATGGCTCCAGACTAACAAATCCCTTCAGTTCTGTAGCCTGTGCCAGTTCTGCAGCATTCCAGGTTCAGTGCAGCTCGCTGCTTTACCAGCTCTGGTACACGTGTTGCAAACATGCCACTGAGGTGACCACAGTTGAGCAAACATTCGTTCTTAGGATCACGGGTGTGATGACGGAGGTTTGCTGGCCCTAGCACTGCTGCAGGCACTTGGGATTGATGAAGTACCATAGGTGCCATTAGCAATGGGTTACAGCATCTGAAATGCTGGGGTTAAGAGGTCTCCTCTGGAATTCTGAGCCTTCAGCTCACTCTGTTCTTATCAGCCCTGCAGCTGAGTGGCTGTGCTTGGTTTGGCTGGTGCCTGTGGTTATCACGTACCAGAGCATCTGAATGAATGGCACTTCTCAAAGAACAGAGGGAGACTTAATCAGGGACTCTTCATCAGGGACTGTAGTGATAGGACACGGGGTGATGGGTTCAAACAGATACAGAAGTAGTTCAGGTTAGATATAAGGAAGAAGTTCTTTACTGTGAGGGTGGTGAGGCACTGGAATGGGTTTCCCAAAGAAGTGGTAAATTCTCCATCCCTGGTAGTGTTCAAGGCCAGGCTGGACAGAGCCTTGGGTGATATGGTTTAGTGTGAGGTGTCCTTGCCCCTGGCAGGGGGGTTGGAACTGGATGAGCTGAAGGTCTTTTCCAGCCCAAACCATTCTGTGATTCTATGACCTGAAACTCGGCACTGGCTTCCTTTCAGGAACTGCAAGTTTGGCTGTTGGGGTTGTTTTCATTTCGGTGATGGAAGCCTAGGCAGTGAAAGCTCTGCTCTTGCTAGGGAGTGAGAATCATGCTCAGTTGTCAGATTGAAGGGGATAGCTCTAGAATGCTCTCTGTGCTGTTGTTCTTTCCCTGCTTGCTATAATCCTCTTTGTACACTGTCAAAGCACCCTGTAGCTAGGAGCCTTCCAGCCCAAGGACTTGCTAGAGGAGATAACATGGCACTGTGGTGTTAAACCCACTCCCTTCAGCCTTTTGCTTTTCCTGCATTACACTGCTAATCACCCCTGGGTTTGCATTCCCCTATAACTAAGCCTAGAAATTGCATCTTTATGCCTAAAGCAACCATTTCTTTTGTTGTTTTAAAGGATTCAGCTGGCAGGAATGAAAATAGTCCGGACCCCACCTCACCTCGGACGCTACAAAGTGATGGACTATGACAAAAGGACAGAGACACAAGAGCCTTGGGGAAGGTAAGTGTTGGGGGTGGTGGTATGTGGAGTTTGGAGGCTGTTCTCTGCCTTGGTGCCATCACTTGCCTCAGAACAGGCAGTAAGTGTCACTTTGTCTAATGCCACTGCTTGTCTTTCTGCTTTCATGTGGCTACTTAGAGGAGTCTCCCAGGAGCAGAATGATTCTGTTGCAACTGACAGTCTGTGTGGAAGGGTTTCTCCTGGTTTCTACTTATTTTCCCTATGGTTAAGGACACATGCTAGCTAAAAAGCTCACACATCAGACTTATTCCCCGAGTCATTTGATGCTTAAAACTTGGGAAAGAAAATACTGCCTCTCTTGTAAATAGGGAGAGTTCAGTGTGAACAGACACTATGTTACACCTTCCCTATTATACAAACCTGCTCTTTAATCTGTGTGGATTTACAATGTGCTGTTAAAATGCTGGAAAACAGTAGTGTAGTGAGAAGACATGAGGAAGGGGTTGTGAGAAACCTTCACAAAGACACAGTTGTATCTAAGAGCTGGAAGAGGGCTTTGGGTCGAGTGTGGTGAAAGTTTCCCTTTATTATCTCAAACCGTAGGCTTCCATAGCAACCCTGTCTTAAACCCCACCTACAGCAGCCTGTGTACATCACTGCTCTGAGCCCTGTGGTGCACACCCTGCTCTTGCTAAGCTGCTGCCGGTTCCTGGTTGCTTTCAGACTGTAGTTGTCACCTCACTGGTCTCCCTGGCTCGTTAGGTTCCAGTCTGCATTGTCCTCCATGTTTAGAATACTCAGAGTGAACTTAATCTGATCTGTTCAAGTCTTGCAAAGTGCCTTCTCTCTGGATTATGGATTAGTATTAGCCTGTATTATACCAAGAATAATTTTCTTGGGGCTTTTCTGGTAGCAGCTTTTACCTGTTTCTTCAGCTGCAATCACATTTGTTCTTCTGTTTTTTCTTCCTCAGGTCTGCTTCCCACCACAACACCAGGAAAACATGGAAAGATGATGGAATGAATTCATTAGAGTTCAAGCTCCTCTCCAGGACAAAGCATCCTCTTTACACCAACATCACTGTGGACATTGGTTATGTTCCCCCCTTCTCTTAGGGGAATAGAAAAAGAGGTCGGTTGGGTCCAGTATGGCAGCATGCATGTGAGGCTTCAGCCTCTACCTCCTGGTGGCAGTCTCACCTGAGACTAATCCTTTTGTCTTTCATGCATTTGTCTTTCCTGCTGGGTAAAAGTTAGAAGAAAAGGCTTCAGGAATAGGGTATGACAGCAGATAACCAGGCTGGGGCTTACTGTGCACTGTAAAACTAACTCCTGAGCCAGAGCCACCTCCCAGCCCTCAGGGATCAAGCTCTCCTTACCCAAGTTATCTGGAACCTTTGTTCCAGAGCTGGATGGATGTGTCCTGCTTTGTACTTAAATGGTGATTGGGATAAAAGCTCTTTTGGCATGAGGCATGCTGTATTTTGACCAGCTTCTATACTTAAGTTCTGTAAATATCTGGTGAATTTGAGTCAAATGGAGTTGTGTTTGGGGGATTTTTCTAGGATATTTACCCAGAGTGTAATAAAGGAGAAAGCTCTTTTCTTGCCTGCTCCACCACTCGTGAAATGTGTTTCTTGTAGCTGTGAGGGTGAATGACAGCTGAGGCTGTCACTGAGCCTGACCTCCTGCTCAGAGTAGGGAAATGAATCCAGTAACTCAGCTGTGGCTCAAACATGAATTATATTTCAAGGTTGAGCTGTCTTTAACATAAAAGACTTCTGAGAAATTAAATACTTGAGGAAAAAGTCAAGCATGCCAGGAGTGGAGCTGGGACGCTGCAGGAATGTACTTACTGAGTGGCCAAGGCCTTGCCCTTTCTGCATTCTCTCCTCTACTCAGCTCCTCTTTACTGTGCAAGCATCACACTGGGTAGTTTTGCTTGTTACATGTAGATAATAAAACACCTGTTTGCTGAAAAGCTGCCTCTATCCCAACTAACACCCAAGAACTTACTTAAAGGTTCAGTCGTCTCTGCAGGTGGAGTAATGGGGCAACCAGCTGGAGCATAACTCTTCAGTATGTAAAGCAGAACTTGCTTTTTGGCATGTGTGAACTCTCCCAAGCCTGGCTTCATATCTGTCGCTAATGGGTACACATCCAACAAGCAGGGTTAAGGACAGACTGGTATATAATGCAGTAAGGAAAGGGGAAACACTCTCATCAAGACTTTAGAAGTGCTGTGGAACAGTTATCCACAGACTCACCAGTCCTCTAAAACCAGAATCACAAGTACTAACACAGCTTGGGTCTATAACAGTCTGGACCAAAGCATTAGAACCAGGGCCAGGAATTTCCCTCCCTCTGACCTAGCCACTGCATCTCCTTCCACATCTCTCCAAAGTAACACGCAATGCACAGCACCAAGACTTGTTTTGACACAGGATACTTCCACCATCCCATACCAGAGTGAACTGAGCTCATGAAACACAGGAAAAGCCTTTTGCAGTCAATGGAGTGTATTTATTGAGAGATCTTTAACATCTCCTCCCTCATGACCATTATTCCTTCCCTCACACACAGGCAGTTTTCCCTCAGGCTGGAAAAAAAAACAGCTTTCCTCAGCGAGTTTGTTATTTGGTGAAGGATTCCTGTGCCTTTAATAAGCCCACAAGAAGTTTAGGAATGGTTGCAAGAACTAGTGTTTTTTCCATGAGACTTGGTTCACGTCCTTCCACTGGCCCATCCCAAACAAGGACAGTTCTGTGAATGTCCCAGCAGAACACAAGGACTGGTCCCATGGCTCCAGCCCTCACAAAAAGGAATTCCCAATCAATCAGACTGTGAAGAAAGACTCTCCTGTGCTACTGAAGTCCTCTTTCAAGCAAACAAGATCTGTTGCCATTTTCACATCCTGTGTGTTGCTCACCCTTATGAGACCTTGGGCTGCACGCTGAAGTCCACTGTGATGTTGATGTATAAAGGGTTATGTTCCACTGAGAGCAGTTTATATGAACAGGAGTTCAGTCCATCTGTTTTCCATGTTTTAGATACTTGACTTAGAAGCTTCATCCTGAGAAGAAAGAGGAGAAAATCTTCACTGACATGCACAGGAGAGGTGTTTTGAGCGCTTTTCCCACTACTAGTAAATTTGGAAGGAGAGCTACTGCTGTTCTGTACAGCTGGCAACATAAAATCATGCTTTTCCTGTCCTCAGTATGGAAAATCAGACATGAAAATGCCCATTTGGCCTAGAACAAAGCTCTTGGCCCCAGGTGCTTGGCCACATACTAAGAAGATGGAAGGGAGAACCCTATTCCTGACTCACCTCTCTTCATTCTCCTCATTACCATGGTCTCGCTTGTGGAAGATCATTGTGTACCTGGCTACCTCCGCAGGTGGCCTCATCACTCCCATCTTCTGCAAGTGAACCCTGGAAGAAGCAATAGTGCCATGAGCAAGGCCTCACCTAGAAACAAACTCAAGGAAAAGAGAAGCAACAACATTTGGAGACTTCATCTCTTGTGGATGCCATGGAAGCAAGCACAGAGAACAGCAGGAAACTTATCTACATTTCTTCCAAAGCCCATCTTGCCAGAGAAATGGGGCTGAGGGTTGTGTTTCTGGGGAACAGACCCATCACAGTGACAGATTCCCCTTTATTTTGGTAGCAGGAAGCAACTACAGTATGTCATGAAGAGCTTAAAGCATCCACTGTACAACAGAGCACATTTAAAATAGTATGGTCTTGTCTAGTCTGTACTACCCTGTATTAGCCTGAGAGGGCTGTAGCAAGATTCCACATGCTTTGCAGCAAGTTCATCTCAACTCCTGCCATAAAATCTTTACACTTGACAGCTCTCCCCTTGAAAAGAGGAGGAAAAAAAAAATCCCAAAAAACTTCATTTCTTTGTCACTAATTGGCACAGAGCTGCAAAACTTGTATTTGTCTACATGAAGAAAAAGTCCTTTCTGAGAACAGTGCCAGAAACCCCGAGTCCCACACATGGGTTTAAGTGTTGGACATCAGGTACTCAATTGGAGCTGCTGTTGAGCTTTAATATCTTTGGATCACGGGAGTTTTGCTCTGTCAGCAGAAGGGGTTAACTTCATGACTGGAATTAAGGAATAGCCCAGGTCTTTGCAGTCATGTCAGCAGCTGGGGGAGCAAGAGGAAACCAAGAATTGAAGAATCATAAAATCAGCTTGGTTGGAAAAGACCTTTAAGCTCATCCAGTCCAACTGTTCCCCAGCACTGCCAAGGCCACCACTAACCCATGGCACTGAGGGCCTCGTTTACTCAGTGTGTGAACACTTGCAGGGATGGTGACTCCAGTGCTGACCTGGGCAGCCTGTTCCAATGCCTGAGCACCCTCTGGGGAAGGAATTGTTCCTCATCTCCAGTCTAAACCTCCCCTGGTGCAGCTTGAGGCTGGTTCCTCTTGTTCTATCACTTGTTCCTTGGGAAAAGAGACCAACCCCACTTCACTCCATCCTCCTGTCAGGCAGCTGTAGAGTGATAAGGTCCCCCCGAGACTTCTTCAGACTAAACCCCGCAGGTCCCTCAGCCGTTCCCCATCACACTTGTGCTCCAGGCCCTGCACCAGCTCTGTTGCCCTTCTCTGTCCCCCCTCCAGCACCTCGATGTCTCTCTTGTAGAGAGGGGCCCAGAACTGAACACAGGATTCGAGGTGCAGCCTCACCAGTGCCCAGCACAGGGGGACAATCACTGCCCTGGCCCTGCTGGTTATCCTACTGCTGATACAGGCCAGGATGCTGTTGGCTTCTTGGGCACAAGCTGCTCATGTTCAGCTCCATTAATCAGCACCCCCAGGTCCTTTTCCATGAGCAGCTTTCCAGCCACTCTTCCCTAGGCTGGGACCAGTGCATGGGGTTGTTGTGGCCAAAGAGCAGGACCCGAACCTTTGCCTTATTTAACCTCATACTATTAGCCACAGCCCATCTGTCCAGCCTGTAAGAAACTGAGCCCCTGAGAGGTTTCCAATGACTTGATTGTAACAGTGAATTATCAAATAAATACAAATGATCTGAAAAATCTCCTTGTGATGCACAGCTTTGGAAAGGGCCCACGAGCCCATCACACTCAGAACAGCAGGACCTGAGTGCATTCAGGCCCCAGGTTCTTCAAGATACTGAAGGGGATGGTGCCATCTGCTGCCGTTGCTGGGAAAGGCTGCAGGATCCCTGCACAGCCACCCACCGGGACAGCAGCTCCTCATTCCCTACCCACTGCACTCTGCAACCAGCCCAGTCCAAGATCCACCCACAAGGAAAGGCATGAGCCAAGTCCCACTGCAGCATGCACTGTGGGTCATGTGATGTGGTTTCCACACCAGGACCTCAGCTACTAGAGAGTTACACAAACAAGCATCACATTTGATTCCAAACCCCTTGTAAACATGGTGGAGATCCTCAGTAAATCTTGCTGCTCTGCTGCTCACAGCAACATCTGAACCACCACCACCACCATCACCTTTGTTTGCACCTTAACTGGGACACTTCCTGCAAAGATGGGGAATAAGATGGTACCAAGCCATCCCCTTCCACTATAAAAGCCAGCTCTTAAGAGAAGTTGGTGTCTCTAAATAGGAGTAGGGAGAAAAAAAAACCCAGCTGTGATTAAGAAGGGACAGAAACCCAGGCCTCCAGTAGTCCTTTTACATTTCCTGAGATAAAGCTGCCTGATACAGAGGAAAACTTCCATTTGGAAGTTCCTAACTCTTAACACACTTGATTTCACTGATGTAATCGTTGAACATCACCAGGGAGATGAATTTATGCCCCTAAAATGTTTGGTTTAAGCAAATGAAAAGGATAAACACTGAAGAACAACGTAGACTTAAGCTACAAATGGATGTTCTCTGCCAGCAGAGCTTAGGGGGTGGTTTATTCCTTTTGGGTTTGTGTTCTGTTTGCCCCCTTCCCCTTCCTTCACTAACAGCAAAGCAGGATTAGAGGTTTCCTTCTAAGCAAAGGGCAAAAGATCACCAGAAAAATTAGGTTGAGTCCTTTGTGCCCTTCAACTTCTCAAACTGACAGGTTTCTCCTACTTTGAAAGGCCCATCTGAAAAACTGGATTTCACAAGAACAAAAGGCACATGCAAATAGATGCATGTCTTTCTAGAATTCAAGCTATTCACTGTGTTAACTAGAATCAACACCACCCACATACAAACTAAGCTGTGCTTGGAGTAAATCGTGGTAGTCAATGAATGCAAAAAACCCAATCCCACCAAACCAAAGCCCTCCCACACTCTTATAAAGCATTGGAACTGAATACATTTGTGTCTCTTTGGCAAATCACCCTCCAGACTTCAATCTTCCTGCTTTCCTGCTTCTGTTATAACCAATATCCAAGTGACAATGCAAATCCCGTGGGGCTGTGACGACACCAAACCAACCCAACTAGAAAGAACCCCAACCCAAAACCTAACAAACCCTGCACCCAACCAGAAATACTTGTCAGGAAGAGGATGAGGTCTCTGGCACACCTAACCTTTGCAAAGAGGAAACTGTGCACAGAACT